AGGCCACGAGACCGAAAACCCACTCGTGAGCCCACTCTACGGCAAACAAAGGCAAAGTGAAAGCCAACAGGAGGTCAGAGATGGCCAAGTGGAGAAGGAAGGTGTCGGTCAGAGAGAAAGCACAGGCGCCGCTGCTGGAGTTCCTGTAACGGCGGATCACGGTCAACACCAGCACGTTGCCCACAGCTGCCAGGATGAACACCAGGGAGTAGACGATGGGGGAGTAGCTCTTTGCAAACTGATAGATGCCGTCCTGTGCACATGGGGCTGCTTGGCTCCAGCTTGTTTTCGTATCAGTGTACTCATACTCCTCATAATCCTGGATAGAAAAGATATAATAATAAAGAAAAAGACATTTTTATTCAGCACAAAAAAAAAAAACAGGGCTAATGGCAAAAATGTATTTGTTTGCTTTTGGAAATGTAATGACTTTAAGTTCACAGCTGCAGGGCTAACGGCAAAAATGTATTTGTTGGCTTTTTGAAATGTAATGACTTTAAGTTCACAGCTTATCAACATGACCAATTAGTTCCTTTAAAACCTGCCGTATATTATCTGATGTATGTGTTCTGCCCCCTGGTGGATTATTACTTGACTTCAAGCAGCGGAAGAGCTTTTTTTTTTATTTGGTCTTTCCAAAATGGCTACTGTCGTCATCCGAATACTTTTGGGAGGAAAGTTTTTGTTCATTTTCAAGAGGTTGAGGTAAGAATAGAGTGTATATTGCTACTACTTTTTCGAAATAAATATACTCTGTGTTCAAACAAGCACAATCAATTGAAAATGGATTCATTTTACGACAGTAGAACCGTGAAAAAAATGTGTGTATCATATTTGATATTGTATATATATATATATGACGTACTTTATCATTATGTCATTTTAAATTGCATTCCGGACGTACTTTTTCATTATGTCATTTTAAATTGCATTCCGGGTTTTTTTTTTTTTTTTGCCAATTTTTCTGGTATCCTAGTCACTATCCTAGTTAACAACTTCGTTATATGTATTGTATCTTTACATGTCAAAAAGATGTAGGAGGAGAAGAGAGCAAAAGACAAAGTTCGATGATGTTCTGTTATTACTATTTCTAAAATAAACATCGTTTTGAGCCAAAAGTTGCAAATGTTCAAATGACGTGGCAATTTCCATTTTGTTATAATGTTCAATTAACATCTCTAAATTTTGAAATTGTCTGCCGTTTTTCTAATACATCAGGCTTTACAGGGTTAGAATAGCCCAGCGTTTTTTAGGATGGGCTATATCTTTATATTAGATAAATGGCGCCATCTTGTGGTCATTTTACGAACTACGTTTTGCGTTTAAAAATATACAGGTTTATTGTGGAAACCGGGAAAACGTACTTTGAGAAAAAAAAAAGATTGCAAAAACTATAGATTGGATGTTTTTGGTGCAAACTGGATTTTTCTTTAAACAAATTTTGTAAAATGTGCTGTTTTAAAGGGAAACATCTTCATTAATTAATTTTGATTGATCATTTCCGGATAGAAAACGAATCAAACACAGTTCCATACAGCAATTGCTCAAGCACAATGCGCTGTTCAACACTATCTTTTCACTACTTTTTTTTTATTGTTTTGAAAATTATTATAAGACCTAAAACACAGCAAAACATGATTGGAATATAGATTAAAAAGAAGAAACCCCTCAAAAGGTACAATTAATTTGCACAAACTTTTCTTCATTTCCAAACACCAACAGAACAATTTCTAAACATCCTTCCAT